GTCGTCGTGATCGTCGTGTGCTCTTCATCGTCGTCGTCGACATTGTCGCAACCAACAAGAGGCTATACACAGGGTGTATCCGAACTCTACCGACGAACTTACAGGACAGATTCTACGTTGGAAAGTACAGTAAAGACATTTTAGCCAGCATATGTCCGCAAAAGTTTGGTCCTTGAGATATGTTCCCTTCAGGATATCGATCATCATTTTTCCCCTAGGGTAAAAACGTAAAGAGTAAAAGGTGAAATGTTCTCGAATTAGAAAATTTTTACACTTTTTACGAGTTTATATTAGAGGAGAAGATTCGTACTGATCACGAATCTTTTCATCCGGATGTAAATTCGTGAAAAATGTAAATTTTCCACTGAAAATATTTCACTTGTCACGTTTCCGCTCTAAGAGGAAGTTGCGTGATCGATGAATCTTTTCATCCGGGTATAAATTTGTGAAAAATGTAAGTTTTCCGCTGAAAATATTTCACTTTTCACGTTTCTGCTCTTAGGGGAAGATGCGTGATCGATACCCGGAAAATGACAACGATGAAAGAAAATGTCGCGATAAGCGGGTTAAGAATACAACACTTTTTTTATCTGTTTTTGAATATAATATCTATCAACTTTGATATTTCTGAATATTAATCGAAGAATCATTTATTATGATGTTGATATATTAGTATCGGTTGCCGCAAGTAAGATTAAATAAAATATTTTCCTTGATATCATGGACGTCTACGAATGTTGTCAATTGTGTATTGATAAAGGAGGCGGACACTTTGAACAATTTTTATAACAGTCTAGTTACACGAAGAAAGTATTGTAATAAATATTACCACAATTTTGTAATGTTGGGCCACACCGGTATCGGCTGAAATTATAATGTGTATCGTAAACTTTAATGATGTATATAATGTATACATCTCAATTAAATATTACAATGTACATAACAAATTCGATAATTCGTGGTCCAGCAATACAAAATTTTGTAGTAATTTTCACTACAATATTTTCTCCGTGTACTTATTGTTTGTAAAACACGATTTAATGAATAAAATATATACTTTTTTTTTTAACTGAGATTTTGCGGTACCTACATCTCGGAAACTATGTGTTTAAGGATATATGTTTATTCAAACTTTTTTTACTTATTTATTTTTTTTATGTAGCATCTATTCTACGAGTTTGCCGGTGAAGTTCAGGCACACCCTGTATCTCAGGCGCAGCGTTACCGTGTTACGCTTCTTTGCGTTTCCCCGACTTTTCCGTGCGTACCGCGGCGGTCTTGCCGCGCATGGAAAACGCGGCGAAGTCAATTCCCTCCGTGTCCCGGGGGAGGAGGAGATCGAGTTTAGCGAGGGGATGTTTGAGCACACGTCACACAGACCTCCCGGTTATAACCGGCGAGATAAGGTTCACGTGGAGCGCGAAGAACGCTCCACGCAAAAAGACTAACGGCGGGAACTCCTCTCTGGGAGGTCTCCGGAGTGATCGCGCACGAAAATCGCGGGTCGTCGGGGAACCTCGGTGCTCCTTGTAATCGGCCAAGTTACGCAACGGAGAATGAAGCGACGGTTACCTTGGCCAATGCAAATACGTGCCGCCGCCGTCGTCGTCGTTATTCGTCTCGTATACGATCGCTACCGCAATATCGGTGTAACGACGAATCACGCGAACCGAGAGCCACGAAGAACATACCGCTCTTCTTGGCTCGTCCCACGCGATCGGCTATTCGCGTGCCGCACGGATCTTCGATTTAGTGAACGTGCGTGAGAGAGAATCGTCGTCCGTTCTTTATGGTTTTTACGCTTACCGAGATCGCGCCTTTTACGCTATTATCTTATAAGCGTCGTGTAGAAGTGACATTATCTCGTGACGTGCGTAACTTGCTCAACACTGGGTCACCTATGACAGATACACACATGACGGGATGTCTCGGCGCGATTTCTAATCTAAGGAAAGAATTATAAACTGCCATGAGGAGCAAAACACGGGGAAAAAAATATTTCGTACTTGTGACTTAAAATCGGCTCTTGTTAAAATTTTTGTGTTAAATTTTTAATATACCCGCGCGCAGAGTTGGACATCATTCGAATAAATTTTGGTTTAATTGATATTTAAATAAATAAATTTTTATTTATCATTTGCTTTATCTTTTATTCGCATTATTGTCATTTATATTATTTGATATTCGAATATGTGCATTATACGTTATTTGCATGTTTGTAATTATTCGTTATTTTTTTATTCATCTGTGTCATTTATTACTTGTGTTATTATTTGCAAACGTCCATGTGTGTATGTGTATGAGAATTCACACTTCATTGTATTACTTGTATTTAATATTATTATTATTATTTTAATATCTCAATAATATATTAAAACATTCAAACAAAATTTATTTGTTATATTTACAGGATAAATAGAGAAAGGACAAGATAAATAATAAATGATGAGTATTAAATAACACGAATAATGAACAATGCGAATAATAAATTATTTGCATGTTCATTTAAATAAATTATTATTCTTTCGTCATTCATTTGAATAAATTATTTAAATGAATATCACCATTTGACATCTCTTGAATAAAGCTGTTACTTATGCATTTACTTTTTATTTATTATTAAAAATTTTAAATTTGCCCAAGTCGGTCTGTATGTTAATTTATTAATAATAAAATTGATGTGGACTATATGAGACATACGAAACGTGTTAAATTTAACATACGATTTTTCGCTGTACATGGATAATCTGACCCAATTCAACACTAATATTGTCAGTATTAATACTAAGTGTGAGAGGAGAAAATTTTCCATCCTGATTTCTAACAAGATTCTATTCTAAGTAGCACGTATACGCGATTTCAATACAGTTCTAACGCTCTTTCCCCCGATGCAGTTTGGAACGCAAGCCGATGGCTGTCCAATGAGAGCGTTCAATTTCTGGGAATTAATCGGAAGCAAGTTTTCTCATTAGAGCCTCGGCTGCGTTCCAAACTGCATCGGGGAAAAAAGCGTTGCAACGCGTAGTACCGAAGCCAAATGTGCGACGATCCGCGAGAGCACTTCTTGCGCATGTCATTCTCATCTCGCGAATCCGTGATCCTCGCGATTCGGTCCCGGACTATGTGAGATCTGTCTGTCTATTATTTGTTTGTTTTGCGCCGCGATGAGATTACGCAACAGTGTGCGCGATAAGATTCGACGACACGGATTGACCATTATCGTTATCGCTTTCTCGTTTTCGGATTACGCGACTCGCGTCGTTACGGTTACCTGACAAGTGCGTAAATACGTAAATAATTTCACTGATAAACGCCGGCCCGGTGATATCGGGTCAAAGCGCAAGTGTGCTACTCCGCGTGTACGCGTGTGCGCGCGTGTGTGAGTATATCTGCGTGACGAGCTGGAGCGATAGAAACTTCGTTTTAAATTCAAGCTCGTTAGCTCGATAAGACTAGCAGCTTTATCGCTCGGTGTAAATCTTATCGCGACGCATTAGCATCGCGCGCGCGCGATCAAAAATCGCTTCCCGACAAACGCGTCCGCCCGCGCATTTTTCTGCAACGCGAGCCGGCCGAGGCGATTTTCCTCATTCGCTTTTTTTTTATTTCAAACACAACCGGGGATATCTCTCGTCGCGTCGTGCGTACGTTTTTTTTTCTGGAAGAACGCGTCGAGTGGTTGATCATCGATTCGTACCGCGAATCGCGATCCGCTGCAATCAGATGTTGCTCGAGTGTCGATCTCTGCGATCACGAGAGCCCGAGAGAGAGTCGCTCTCGAGACTTCTCTCTCTCTTTCGCACTTGAATTTTTCTCCTTCTTCCTCTTCCCTTTTTTCCGTTGCACCGCGCGCGTCACGGAGGTTAATGCATTCACGATGCGATCCCGCGACGCGCCGGACAATTCTCTCTCTTTTTCTCTCTATTTATGTGTAATTTTTCAGTATTTACTTATTTAAAAGAAACGTTTGTACTTTTTATTTCTTATTCATATGTAATCATTTATCAGTTTCGACATAAGCTATAATGTAAAGGTAAATTAGCAATTATGTATCGCTTATGATTAGGATGTTTGAGGGGTTTTGTCCCCGAGAGCAGTATAAATGCTTCCTCTCTCTCGCATTTTCTCTCCCGCTCGCGCAGCAGCCGGAGTTATAGGTTTTCGCGATGTCTTACAGCTAATCCGACCCGCGCCCCGCTATTATACTATTACGACCTGTGGGGCTCTCTAATGGGGCCCATGCTGCGCACGAGGGAATCACGTTGCCGCGTAATGCCTGTGCACGCACGTCCCATCGTGCGTCGCGCATACAGATAGACGGGAGAAACTCACGACGAACGCGCCCCGTCCGTCCGTCAGCCGTTGGCCCTGCGTCGCGCCGTTGCGACGCTCTCTCACACGACTCTGTGTGCGTGCGTGTACACAGCCGCGGAGTAACGGCCGCGTCGCTTTCAACCTATTTCGCGGAGACGCGTTGAAAAATATGCGCCCGACGTGCGTGCGTAAGAGGAGAGGAGCCAGGGAATCCCTCGGCGATGACGAGTGGAAATCGCTCGTCACCGTTAGCGTGTTTGCGCGCGCCGCGTTACGCGTCGCTTTCTTCGGTCGCGCCGCGCGTAATCGAGGGAGTTCCTCGATCCGGGGTGGTGTTCAGTAACGAAGAAGACAGAAACTGCTGTCCTCGTCGATTCAGCGCGCGGAAAAGAGGAAATTGGCCACCCGTACAAATGAAATTTACCTACCGGAGCTTTTTAGCTGGCTCTTTAGCCCCGTGGGCGATAAAAACTAAGTATGGGGACGAGGAATCGGATAAATCGACTAGATTTCAGTCGTATCACACGCACGGCTAATTTCGTTTCCCGCGCGCGGCAACCTCGATACTTCGCGCCGGTCGGATAATATTTCTCACGCGACACGCCGACGACGTGGAGAGAAAATTCGGTTACACGTCGTGCCAGCCTGACGCGCCGGTTGAAAAATCGTTTCTCTCTGGGACTTACATTGATCGAATATCTTAAGCATCGCTTTCTTCAGCTGCATAATCGCGCGGAGAGTCGCCCTTCGGACGAGGAGCAACGACCAAGGCGCAAGCAAGTCCGACCTCTCGTCGTCGTCTCGAATAGTAGCTGTTGTTATCCGCTCGGCCGATTCCTCGGACCATCGTCGATAAGGCGATACCTTCAAAGAGCCACTGCTGACCGTCGTCGTCGGCCCACAACAGGACGCTGCATCTCGCCGCACGACGCCGCGGTCGCGGTCGTCCGGCGAGTCGACATCCTCTTTCTTCTTCTCCTTTCGCTTCCTCTAGGTCAACACGCGCGCTGTATGCGCTTCTGCGTTCGTGCGTACCTTCTGAAGTGCGCGTACGTGAATGCGTGCACACGATGCACTCGACTGACGCACACCGCGCGCGCAACGCGCACTACCACTCGCGGCAAGGAAGTCGTCACTTCCGGCGAGCCTGGAATCCGCACGATGAATGAACTCGTTCGCGTAATCGCTCCCACGTACCACGACCTCTCGGGGGCAAATCCAGTCCGATAACACCCACGTGGTGTCTCCGTAAGCGAGAGCCTCGAGGCGAGGCGATAGCGCGACGCTCGATCTAAGAAACGGTACGTCGAGCAGGGAGGAAGAGAGAGAGAGAGAGAGAGCAAGAAACGAATTCGCCTTCACTTCCCGTGGAAGATCGCAGAGACCGACGAGGAAAGTTTTACGTTACGACGTCCGTCGTCGAGAATTGCCACGCGCGCGCTTTATCGCGCGGCGAGGCGAGTTACTCGGCTCGCTGGCTGAGACGCGGGACAAACTAGGAAGCAACCGATCCGTTTACGAGCGTCCACCCTTGCCGAGGGTTCTCTCTCTCTCTCCCCTTCTGTGGTCACTTCAAGAATAGCAACGCGAGACTCGCCGTAACTATCGGCCGCTTCTGCGAGATTCGCGATGATGACGACGACGGTGACGATGGAGAGGACGACGTTTGAACGACCGTTTGCCGTGGATTCTTCAACGATTGAGATTAACACACCTTCTCCGAGAGCTTGATTTTCTCTCTCTCCCTCTCTCTCTGTCTCGCGTCCGATATCGATTCTCGATGCTTCAGATTTGAACGGAAGCGCGACTCTTCTGCCCGTCGAGGTGCTGCGAAGTGCGCGAGGCTTGCCTCTCCTCCGTTTGATCTACGCAAAAGCGCATTCTTCCGAAGAAACGAGCACGGCGAGCTGGCGAAACGTTGGAACGTTGGCGCGCGCGCGCCGCGGTGGTGCGCCGACTCCGCGGTTGCGGCGAGGAGGGACCCGATCGCTCCGACGGCGCGGCGTGATGCTCTTCGCGCACAAGTTTAGCCGCGACTGTTGAGTTCCCGTCGAGTGGAACCGAGTTGAGTTAAACCGAGTCGCGCGGCGGTCGGGAGCCAGAAGAGAAGGGGAAGAGAGAACGAGAGAGGAAGAGAGAAAGAGAGAGAGAGGGCGAAAAAGAGAGGGAGGGAGGGGGGCAAAGTTCTAATTCCGATTAACACAGCTGCACGCCTATTTTGAGAGCAAATCAAATTATCGGTCGTAGTCGAAATTAGGGAGAGAACGGGGCGGGATGGAAGAAGGGAGTCGACGACGACGAGACGTCTTGGACTCTCACGAAGAAACGCGGAACCCAGCGAGGGAGGAAGAAAGTAACCAAGAAGAAGAAGCGGCGTATCGACTGCCGAGGTCGCATGACGCAAATGACGAATCGAAATTACCAGCGGCGCGTGTGCTCCGCGCGTAAGCCACGCGGATCGCAGGAAAAAATTTTCAGCCGATTGCGAATGAGCCCGGATAAATATTATTCGCTATCTCGCTTCATGTCGCCTATGTCGCCGCATGTATAATGCGCCTGCATCGTCGTATTCGCGCGATAACTCGCGCGCGTGCATGAACAACGCGTGTACTCGTGCACGCGTCATCGCACGGAGAAGAAGAAAAAACAGAGAGGAGCGAGAGAAAGAAAGACGAAGAGGAGGGCAGGAGTGAGGGGGGGGGGGGATAGATAGAGAGAGAGNAGAGAGAGAAGCTGAAGAAGTGTTCGTACCAGCTAGATCTTGTTATACACCGAGTAAGCCGTCTCGTTCGCTCGTTCTTATGCGCGGAAGCTTCGGATAAACGCTCGGCTAGACTCATCTGAACGACCGTCTGACGTCTTTCGGGATGAAGCAGTTAACGCGATCGCATTACATTTTCGCACTCTTTCGGAGAATTCCGCCATCCGATCTGACTCTTAAGTGTGCACGCGCTTACGTATTCGAGTTTGACATTTCTTCCCACACGGACGACCTGAAAACTCAGAGATCGAATAACTCCGAACCACGACCGCTCGGCGTTTTTAATCCTTCGACCATCATGGGTCGAACAGACCCGGGTGAGTTGTGTTTCAAGGGCTATGGCGAAAAGAAGAGCGCGATCTACGGGTTTTCTCTTCTTCTGAAAACTTATCAGAGAGTTGCTCTGTCCGATAGACGTGGTGTGGATTTGATAAACCGATTAATGCGTGTTTGGGAGCAAATCTGAGGTCAAGTCAGGCAGGGTTAGTTAGACCCATAGTGCGGTCGGTGTGTAACTTTACGCCACAAGTGACTATTTTGCTGGAAAATCGTGTATGAACGTAAATGAGCATTGTAATTGCGTGTATTTTTTTTAATAATAAATAATGTTATGTTAATGCCAGATGACGTGTAACTTATGCGAGCGCGTCCTGCAAAACTTAATTCTGAATAATTAATTTTTTTAAACAATGCATGTTTCTAGTTTGTAAGTAAAAAAAGATTAAACCATTTTTATACTTCCACAACAAAAACATGTTTTCCTATAAAAACACCTATTTTCGACCTTTCAAAATATTTCAAAATATCCTCTTTTCAGTGATCTAAAAAATGTTTTTCACAGATATACTAGAATCATATTTCTTTTTATTAGAACTATCTTTCAGCTCCATCGTCCTACAGTTGCAAATAAAAATAATAAAAAATAAGAAAATTACGATTTTTTAGGTAAAACATTACCATTCGCGAGATCGCTGCCTAAATTCGAATTTTTTCTTTCAGTAACTTAAAACTTGGTTTTCTATAAATACATGGTCGAATATTAAAGTAGAAGAGTTACACTTTATCTTAATTTTATCAACCTTTTTTTCTTTTTTCTTCAGATATGAAATTTAGAAAATTATATAGGGTCAACATGAACCTGTTTGTGGTGCGAGCGACTTTTCAGAAATGTGCGGTCGAAGGGTTAAATAGCGCGGTCGGAAAAAAATGGAAAAATTAGCATTTACTCTCGAGACACGTACGAGAATGTACAGAACGATAAAAAAGAAAGAGAATACGAAGAAAAACACGCGGGCTCTCTTCCCGTCTCTGTGTCTTTTTGTTGCGCCGCGTCTTTCGAGAGAAGCGATAAGTGCGTAAGCGCGTGTGCCACGTGTGTACGTACACACACCGGGTACACCGATAGGCACACGTACGGCCAGGCGCGTTAATACCGTCCGATTCATTCACGCCCGATTTTCTCCCTTAGTCCGAATTCACAATAAGTGTAATCAGCTTTTTTGCCCTTGCTCTAAGCAATAAAATGTAACGTAATTTCTGACAAAAGACATTGCTAAAAAGACAACGCTTTTCGGCAATTTCTGACAAGAGGCGTTTGCCAAGAAACGCTGCTAGAAGTCGTAGTAACTATAGTTTCAGTTCCGGAAAAAAAAAAATAAATAAATAAAAATATTTTTTCCCTATTTTCCCCGCACATTTCTTTGAGTAAAAAAAAATGCCAAGGATACAAAAATTCGTTTAGAAAAATTCACGTGTGTTCGATTAAAACCTGCCGTGTTTACTTTTTTCCGTAAAGAAGGCAACAAACCAAAGAAATCCGCGGAAAAACTTAAAAAAAAAAAAAAACATTTTTTCCCCCGAAACTTAAAACTATAGCAATAACGTTGAAATTTAAGGAACCGCGACGCCTAGTAGCACCACTTGCACTTTAAAATTACGTTGTAATTTCGGGCTTGAAATAAAAGGCTAAGGGATTGCACTTACTCTTATTATGGATCCGGACTAATGTTCGAGGATCGTAATTCTGCCGGTTTACGCGGTTAGTCACTCGCTCATCCGTTTCGCAAAGAATCGTCGAATCGCGCGCGCGTCACCGAGGTCTCGCCTCGTGAGTACGGCCGCGCCGAACAGTGCTAACGCGGCTGATCGTACGTGGCGGCTCGCGTCGCGTCGTCGGATTATGCAACTGATGAGGTAGCGTTCGTGGTATCGCACGGTACATCGGGATTACGCCTCGTAGCTCGCAAGCGTCAGCGTTATTAAGGACGTCGACGGAGCCGCGAGGATTTTTGCTTTCTCGCCGGCGAATCTTAGACTGCATATTCCGAAACGTTCATTTCGAGGAAAATTTTATTCTCGGCTCGGCTGCTCCAAAACCTGACCTGAGCGATTGATTCCTCTTCCGTCACCGTAGGTCACCGAGGTAAAATTGTCCTCGAAGAGAATCTTTTCGAATGTAGCCTTAAACGCGAAGCAGCTCTCTTCTCTTCTCTCTTCCTATCTTTCTTTCTTCCTTTCTTCCTCTTTCTCCCTCTCTCTTTCTTTCTCTCGGAGAGACTCGAAGTACACTAATCGTCGCCGGCTCAGTCGCGGTTCAGCCTCACGCGTTTCTCGTCTCGAGCCCGGGCACGCTGCTGCTGATGTTGCTGCTCCTCGTCGTTATAACGGAATCGTTCGCGCTACAGCGCGTTGCGAATTTCTCTTCACGGATGATACGTTGCGCTCGCTCGCTCGCTCGCGAGAGAGAAAGAGAGAGAGAGACGGTCTTGCGCGCGCGACTCTCTAAACCGCTCCGAGACTAAAGTCACCGAGGAATTTCCTCCGCGATCGTGAATCACGACGCCGCAAAAGTCGGCCGTTCTCTTCTTCCCCTCCGCCCTCGGCTCGTGCCACGGGACCCGCTGCGAGCGATTTATTCGTTACGAGGTTTCGATACATTTCACAGCACTACCAGGCGAAAGGAGCGGGGCTGGCGGCGGGGAAAAAATTTTTCCAACCACGCGTTTCGAAAGGAACTCGAGATTAACGTCGGCGACCGGTCTCTCTCTCTCTCTCTCTCTCTTTCTCTCTCGATGCAATGTCGCGGACACCGTCGCAACCTTGACCGATCTCGACGAGCGACACGTCTGTCCGCCATCGAAGTTCGTGCTCTCCTCGGCATTGACACGCTCGCCAATGCCAATGACAGCCCGTTACGGCGGTTACCACGTCCGTCCGTCCGTCCGTCTACCCGTCGTACTGCGCGCCGAGACCCTTCGTCTCCCTTATTCTCCTCGTCTTCGGGTAGCAGGCGCGTCTCTCGAGAGCTGCCACATTCGCGGCAGCGGAAGGCCGCAACCTTCGTAAATTAGCCGCCCGCTAATTGATGTATCCGCTCGAGTACTTTCCGGCCGGCGGCGCGTAGTAAGTAAGCGCTTCGTCAGCCACGAGAACGATCCGTAGGTGGGATCGGCTCGCTCGCTCGCTCGTTCATTCGCTTGACGTCGAAAGCAGCTTTCGACCGAAAGCCGATTTAACGAGCAAATACCGCGGGAGTCAACGGGAGAGGGGGTGGGGCGGCGATTAAAACGTTAACGAAGCGGACGGAGATTCGCGTCGGAGGAATAAATATACGAAGGCGTTCGAGAGAAAGAGAGAAGAAGGCGAGAAAGCCGGCTGAGACGAAGATTCAGGATTAGGCGAGTGGGGTCAATGAGTGCGGGTCAAACGAGCACGCGACTCGTATCGAATTAGCTTGTCGCACTGAAATTGACCTCCAGGCTAATTCCACGATCCGCGTTCGCACGCGCCTTCACGACCACGGCACGGCAGATACACACGTGGAGCGCTCGCGCGTACCTCGCGTGAAATTCCGTTTGGGGCCAGCTGCGAGCGATTATCCGCGTGACTAGAGTTTTGCATAAACTTACGTAGCTAACAATGTGGGACCAGAATGAGAACTAGACGAGAGAGAGGGAGAGAGAGAGACAGGCTTCGGCTTTCGGACTGTCCCGATGAGCGTATACGGAAAAAACAAACTTGGCTAAAACAGCGAATGTTTGTCAATATAGTGACAGCAAAAAAAAATTTGGACAGTAGAAAAATTTGTTGAGAGCACTAATTGCTATTTGCCGGATATATCGACAATTAATATTCTTAACGAATCTTCCTCCTGTGCAAGTTTTTCGTCTAAATAAATGTTTTTTTTACTGTACTCTTTTCATTATATTGACAAACATTCGCTGTTCCAGCAAAATTTGTTCTCTTCGTGTAATACACGAGGAAAAATCCGTTCATATTCTACTATCGCAAATTTCGAAGGACATGCCATTGGCGTTGTTATGTTTTTAATTCAATTTCATCACGATAATCGCTAATTGATAACGCATCGGAGACGATTCGTCAGAGCGGGGATTCTCTGCCGGGGGAAATACCTCGATCTTTCTCTGCAACGGAGAGTCGTCACGAAAGTTTGATGATAGCCGAACGCATCGAGAGAATGACTCGATTGAAAAGAGCAAAATCAATAGGACTTACCCGGCTTCCTGCGGGAGCTCCAAAGCACAGGAGGATGCGCGGATGCGGCGACGGCAGCGGCGGGGTTACCGGCGGAGGCAGCCAGCTTGACCGCGTTCCGCGAACCTACAACAAACAAATCACATCATTCCATACGTGTATGTATTTCAACGCTCGATAAACCGCATTTTTTAATCATTGAACGAGAAAGGATATGTGACTGAAATCGAGTTGCGGCTCTTACATCCTTAGAGAGTACACAAAGGAACCATCTCAGGGTTGCCACGGAAAATGAATTTTGAAGTTTCCTGACTTTTATATATTTTCCAGGCAATAATGGAAAATTTCCCATGACCAATATGTGATCTTATATTTTAACGTTTAGAAGGAGGGACTGCAAGAGGTAGGTAGCTCATATTATTGGAAGCAACTTAGAT